ATTGGTATTTTTCAAAGTATCGTGATGTAATTTAGGCGATTATATTTTTGATTAACCATGGCAAATTGAAACACAACACATAAATTGTTCAGCTCATGCTATACCTATAGCTGTAAGTAATAACATTTGACAATGCGCGCTCTAACGAGTCCAGTTTCATCACGAATGCTAACTATGGAGGCATGTGCTCCATATGCATTGGCTACTTCTGCTGTACTTAAAACCCAACTCCTGGCATTATCATTTCCCACATTTACATCGATTCCGAGATCATTTTATTCGGGGGGTTCATTTTCTATGTCAATAAATGGCCAAGGGATGGAACATTTCGGGGAGATGGAGCTATGGAAGAAATGAGCACGTGTGTGTGGGGGTGGGGGGTGACAGTGGCCTGGTGCAGGCCTTCATCTAGCAGTGGATTGGCCACAGCTGATGTTGATGAAGCTGATGAAAAGCATTCATAAAAACGGACAAATCTTAACTCAACCGACGAACGTGAAGAAGTAACAATCGCCGATTATTACTTATTGTAAAACGAGTGTATCGGCAATGTCCCGTACCTGCCCTTTGCAATCCGATTACGACAACGCGTTACTACTCGCAGCGCATTACAGTCAACACATTGATCACCCACGAAACGTTTGCGTGCATTATACCCAACCGTTTCAATCCATTCTAGATTTGAAGGTTTCGTGACTGCAAGGATTCACACTCTTAGGTTTTTTTCGGTAAAGTCACGTGGGTGAAAAAATAAATTTAAAAATGACTAAAAGTTATAATAGAAATAAAATAAAATAAATTATTAAAAGTAATAGAAATAAAATAAACTAATAAAAGATATTTTATTTCTATTATTATAAAAAAATTATTTTTTCTATTATTGCTTTTATTAATTTTTATTTTTTACCTACGTGATTTTACCGAAAAAACCCTAAGAGTATATACGTTTCAATCCATTTATCCGACACGTGACTGTGAGCAACGACCGCATTTTCTCCTTGCCGTGTTGGTCCCCCCCCTACCCACTGGCTGACAAGTGACGATGACGATTTGTTGTTGTTGTTATTGTTGTTAGTTGTTGTCACGCCCGAGAAAGTGAAGAACAGCGAGCGAGCTAACTACGCGAGAGTCTCTACGCCGCCCCACGAAAAAACCGCCGAACATACAAACACGCACACGTGTAGATAACAATAATATATATTACACATTTAGAATAGATAGCCGTAATAACTTAACACTGCTCCGTATAGTAGTAGTAGTAATGACAAGATAATCTAGTCGGAAGCCGTTTTGCTTTGCGGGGTGGGTTGTTAAGACGAACGCACTTTTCTTTGTACATTCCGGGCTTAGTTTCAGCCGGGTATTGCGTGGAGTCAGCGACCCGGCACACCACGTCCAGTACACATACATCCCGTATACATATGTGTGTTTCTCTGTATATGCTGCCAGCCATGGCCCCGGGCTATCACCGTGCCAGGTGCCACCCTACTCTGGTCTACCAGCGACCCGGCAAACGTCAGAGGTCGCAAACAGGTTTTGATTCCTTACCCGTACCCGTACCCGGCCGCACCAGGGTCGCAAATGGGTACCCGTACCCGGCTGGGTACGGGTAGCCGTTCCCTACCCGTACCCGTACCCTACCCGAAATGAGTGACAAACGGTTACTCACCAGTGACTCACGGCCTACCCGTACCTGTACCCGGCCACACCAGGGTCGCAAACGGGTACCCGTACCTGGCCGGCTACGGGGTACCCGGTTGCGACCTCTGGCAAACGTTCAGTGAAAAATCAAAGCCCCCCCCGGATCGTTCGTTGCGATTGTTCGTTGCGAAGAACGGAGAAACCTTGGCCACGTGCTCGCAAACGCTCGCAATGTTGCACCGGGCGCGCGCAGACACTGGCGTCTCGTGCTCGCACAAGGCGGCACAGGTGGTACGCGGGTGGCGCGGGTGGCACGGGAGGGACGGGTGGCTTGTCGTGGAAGCCACGGGCGTGTAAAGTGGCGAGGACGCCGGCATGCTCGTCGACAACGCCGCGTGCAGGCGAGGCGGGGTCACAGCTGTGCCGTGTCGGCCTCAAGGAATCGAGGCCAGAGAAGAGACGGGGGGGGGGGGGGGGGGAGACCCTAACTCCTCAACCCCGAGGACCCTACCCATCTGCACCGTTAAACTTGCAGCTTAACCCCAGCCCGACAGGGTACGGTGCCAACCTTGGGCCGAGAGCGTCAGCAAGGCCACCGCGGTTCTGGGAGGCTCAACCGGGGAATCCGGTGAGCGGGCAGCCCCAAAGCCTAACCAGTCCAGAGTTTAACCCCATCCCAAGCAGCGTAAAAGCCTCTCATTAATTTAATTTTTATGGCGCATTCACAAGTGCTGTAATCTTACCACACCAACCAAACTAGCCTTATTAGTTTAACCGTTCCAAATTAAAACCCAATATTTGGCCAAACTCCGATGATAGAGCCACCCGCAACCCCCGACCATGAGAACTCTTGACGCCAATGGGTCAGCGACATCGACCACGGGTAACGGAAACCCGCACCCCACCACTGCCACCAATTGTTTGAGTTTCATGTTTTAGTGTATTTTGATGAGCAAGGTGAGACCGGCGAACAGTCTCTCATATTTCGATTTAAAGCTTTCGTGACTGCAGGGATTCATATCCTTGGTTCTTTCGGTAAAGTCACGTAGAAGGGAAGCAATAAAATAATAAAAATACAAACAATAAAATTCTCACACGACGTTTCGACTGCAACACAAGCAATCGTCATCAGGTGTGGATTTGATTATTGTTTCCCGTTTCTATGTGACTTTACCGAAATAACCAAGAATATATCTCTCATATTGCGCGATGTGACCCGAACGTTCCCCCTACGCAGGCGGAGCGAGGCAGGAAGGGGCCGAATCCGACGTTCTCGCTCGAGGACGGCGATCACAAGCGGAGGCAGACACGGTGCCGCTGCCACGCCAGCCCGGCCTCCGCAGACGCTCCCGCTCAAAAACCCAGCTGGCTATCTCCCACCCCATCTCTCATGCGGAGAAAATAATAATCACGGCTTTAGCCGTTCCCCCCCCCCCCCGATACGATTTGGCGTTGTACCGGCGTGTTGTTTGGCAAGAGTAATTCGTTCTACGAAAGATGCCCCCCCTAGCACGTGGAGCGAGATGTCAGTCAATTACACAAGTGACAGTTGACCTCTAATCTCCCAAAGACTGAGATTACATGGCGGCTTAAACGCACAAATTCAACGGGCGCCACGGTGACGGATCGTGCCGGACTGGCCATACGTGGTGCTGGGGTCCGCTTCTTCAGGAACTGAACATCGGCAGGACGTTTCCCGGCGGGTGGAGCGAAACCTCAAGACGTCATGGCGAACGCCGCGCGGTACAAACGGGGAAAACCCGCACGGAAGGGCACGAAGCGCAACCGCGAAAAACCTACGGGGGCCGTGTTTACCGCTCTCGTAAAAATGTTTAATTACCATTTTTATTTAACCCGCTGCCGCCATCGCCCACTACTCCACGACCTTTTCTCAAGACCGCGGGTTCGCGCGACTTTTAACGCTATCCTAACCCGGCACGGCGAACCGCAGGACACCCTCCCATCCAAACGAAGCCTCCACCCCCCTGCCCCCATAACATGGAACCAAGCCAGCCGGCGGTATAAACACAACAGCGCAACCAGAGCCGTGCCTGTCCATCGCTGTACACGGGGGGCCCATCCAGACCGGACTGGCACGGCAGCGGAGCAGAGGGGGGTCAAGGCGGGCGAGGGAGGGGTGGTGACCAGAAGCGCGAGTGGTACGGCCCACAATGAATGGTAGCGGGGAAAGGTCTTCTGGATAATGGGGGGGGGGGGGCGGGGGGATAACAAGTCGCTCGAGCCTAACTTACTTCACGCAATGAAACCCCTAAAATTAGATCTCACAATGCCAAGAAATCCGTAACGACAATAGTTTTATCTGTGGGGCGTACCCGGGAGGGGGGGGGGGAATCGATGTCGGGGTGCGCCATCAATTAGAGGTGTGAAGGAGGGGCGAGTGACATGGAGGGGGGGAGGGCGATTGTGAAACGTTTGTGCCAACTCATGAAAGCAGAAAGTCGACCAAAACGATCTGACAAAAAGTCGCTCGGGTGTCGCGAGATCGACCTTTCGCAAGTCGTCAAAAAATATGATGAGATCATTTACCGAGCGTTAAACGCAATAACAAATAACTTCGCATCACCGTCAAGTGGCTTTGACGAAATCTCGTGGCGAGGGAGTTGCTCAAATCTCGTGACAAAATCTCTTGTGTTGGCAACACCGTCGTGAAGGCAGTTTAACATCCGACCATCCCGTGGTGTTATTCAGTAACAGATGATACGGGTTGCCATCGCTCCCGCAGCTCTGAATGTACAAATACTGCAGTCCATGGAGCCCAGAGTAGAATTGGTACCGCGTAAGGTAGGGGGGGGGGGAGAAAGAACTTTAGGAATAGGAATGCATTTACATGGCTAACGAGTCAATTGTTCGACAGCTCAAACGTGTCAAAAGGTTATCACACAATTCACTGTCATTGGCCACATAAATAAATTGGAAGCAGTAATCTCTGCTCACGGGGAATACTCTCACAGCATGCCCACGACATCCGGCCTCTCGGCTTCGCTCAACACCTCCTGGGACGCGCGTGGTCATCGGCGTTACCCCGACGATCGGAATCGGTCTGTGCAGGGCGGTGGGGGGGGGGTGAGGGGTGGGTGGGGGGCAGGGGGGGGAGGGTCGTGTGGTTGGGGATGAGGCAGCGACGGGAAGGAAAGTGACGGGCTGGAGAGACTCTTTGGTTCTTTCGGTAAAGTCACGTATAAAGATAAAACTAATAAATGAAATAATAGCATACGACGTTTCGATTGCAACACAAGCAATCATCATCAGGTATAAATGAAATAGCAACAAAAATCTAACCAGAAAACTATAGACAGACATTTAAGCAGACAGATGTCACCAAGATATATATGTCTGTCTATAGTTTTCTGGTTAGATTTTTGTTGCTATTTCATTTATACCTGATGATGATTGCTTGTGTTGCAATCGAAACGTCGTATGCTATTATTTAATTTATTATTTTATCTTTATACGTGACTTTACCGAAAGAACCAAAGAGTAATTCCTGCAGTCACGAAAGCTCCAAAATTAAGATTGGGCTGGAGAAACCCACGGGGGAGACACCACCACCACCGTAGTAGTAGTGGTGGTCATAATAATAATAAGAACGATGATGAGGGCAATGGTAACGACGGGACGACGCGACGGGGTTTGGGGAAGTTGGGGAAAGACCCCGGGACTCTCTGCTGCCTCCGTGTCTACTCCGCCTTGCGCTTGGCACCGGGGATCTTGGCCTGGACCCTGATGGGGGTGAGAGCAGCACAGAGCAATTCGAAGTGAGCGCCAACAACCCAGTTACGAGTGAAGCTTCGTGCGAGCCACTGAGTCTCCGAGAGAGCCTTGCGTATCTACCTGGCACACCACATCGAGCATACCTCTCCGCTATGGATGTGGCTACTTAGTCCCATGCCACCCGTATTCCAGTCAACCAGCGACCCGGAAAAATCGGTGAGAAATTTAAGCCCAGATCTCTGACCGTCATGCCAGCAGGACTTCGCAAACACCACAGTGGGCAGGTCGTGTACGGTGACGCAACGTGTGGGTCCTCCGACCTCTTCAAAGACATCTGGCCAGCGTGGAAGAGTAGGCCAAATACCCTCTCTCTAAAGGAAGGTATTCCGCCGGCGGTGGAGCGAGCAAGCATATTGCAGGGCCGTGCAATATCACGATCCGTTTCCAACGTCGCGTAAAATTTCACGTCACAGTGCGGGGGTGCGAGAGAGTTTTTTTTTTAAAGTGTTTTGTGGCCGTTGGCTTACTTGGCGATGACGCCGTTGAGATTGCTGCGAGCCAGGGCCAGGTAGTGATCGATCTGTGTCTGCGGGGAGTGGGGGCGGCAAGGCAGGGAACATGGAACGCGCGGCAGTGAGCGTTCAGCCATTCGGTGTCGGCGTCTTCCTCCTGCACAGCTCCACTGAGAGATCTGTGTGTGTGTGCGCGCGTGTGGCTAAAGCACAGCAAATTGGCACAGTAGGGGGCACAGGTGGTGCATCAGCCAGTCATCTCGGTCATCTCAGTCAGTCGACCCGTGGCACCTGCTGGGTCTGCCCCGTGACTCCTGCCAGCGGGCGTTCGACACTTCACGTGGCCTCAAGGAGCACATGGCCTGGCACAAGCGTCGTGGTGACGTCACTGCCACTTAGTGACGAATGGCGGTTGTTGTGTTGTTGTTGTATATATTTCATTGTAGGGGAGCGGTTGTGCAATGGTGAGCACGCTGCACTACGATTCCCGCTCACGGTCAACACCAGTGACGCTTACGTGCACCGGTCCTGGGCCTCCCCTAGGTCGACTCAGCCTCAAATTAGTACCTGGTGAGGTGTGTAAACCTCGTCACTGGGGAGACAAAGGCGGTCGGGCGTGGTGCTGGCCACCCACCCCCTCGTGTGCCGTTGCGGCCTTCATAGGTGCTCGCTAACAGCACTTGCCCCAACAGTCTGTTAAGGCTACACGGGGGGATCTTTGATCTTTGATATTTCATTGTAGGGGAGCAGTTGTGTAGCGGTGAGCACGCTGCTCTACGATTCCCGCTCACGGTCTACACCAGTGACGCTTACGTGCACCGGTCCTGGGCCTCCCCTAGGTCGACTCAGCCTCAAATTAGTACCTGGTGAGGTGTGTAAACCTCGTCACTGGGGAGACAAAGGCGGTCGGGCGTGGTGTTGGCCACCCACCCGCGCGAGTGCAGTGCCGGCGTTCAAAGGTGCTCGCTAACAGCACTTGCCCTGACAGCCTGTTAAGGCTACACGGGGGGATCTGTGTGTGCGTGCGTGCGTGCGTCACCTGATACTTCTCGTAAACGACGGGAGCTGTGAACAGGGTCAGGACACCTGCAGCGACACAAGGGGGAGTAAGGGAAGCAAATAAACATTTGAACATCCACACGAAACGACAACAGGTGGCTCAAATGACTCGTCACGTGTGTGTCTTCACAAATAAAAATAACTACTCTTTTTTTTTTAGCAGCAGGCAAGTCCCACTGAGCTACACTTGTCAGAAGCAACCTGCTCACAAGTGATAACTCCACAAAGTGGCTTATCACGCGGAAATATGTACCAGCCAAAAAGCGTGATGTTGATTCTAAATGTTGAGGGAAAATCCGGAGGACCCAGAGAGAGACAGGCAAACGCCAAATACACAGCAGCAGGCGTCAGGGTCGGGATCGAACCCACGACCTCCTGTATACCGGGCGAGAGAGTTAACATCTCCTAGCCACCGCGGCGGCCAATGAGCGCTGAGCTAGCAACATTTACGTCTCAGACGCTCAGCAGGTTATTCGCCCGGCTAATGCTCGACCACGGTGTATACAGCAGGTGCCATAGCCTGCGGGGGCTACGTTGTGGGCGGTGCAGAAAAATCCGCCGTTGTGCAATGCTATGGCTCCCAGCCCTCATCACCGATCCACACCGAGACCAGCGTGGTGACGTACGGGTAAAGGAGGATCCGCAAGACCCGCACGGCGTTGGGGAGGACCTTCAATCAGCAGTGGAATAGCGACGGCTTCACGTGTACAGGTGAAACAACGCGGCAGTTACAGAGGCGGCAAGAGAAATGCCGAACCCCGATAGCAATTAACAATATCCTGCTGCTAAGTTTGTCCACATACCCAAGCTGTTACATTCCAAACATTTTTTGGTTTTATGTTCAATCGTAAACCTCGTAAATCCACTGCTGTGTCGGTCACGGGGGTCGTTCGACCATACTTCACCACGCTGGTCAGTGTGGGTTGGTGGAGGAGGCAAGGCAGGACCGGTTTCGGATATCACCCTTAAGCCTCCAATGTTAGCCGTGGCCGGTGATCGAAAGCAACTCTGGTCATCCTCTCAGCGGCTTCTGGCTGACCATCGAACAAAGACGGTCACTGCGTCTCGCGCTTTCAGATGCGCTTCTGTGGCCGTCTGGAACGCTCTTCCTTCCGATATTAGGAAGCCACTGGAGCTACCCACTTTTACATCTAAATTGAAAACTCATATTACTACAACGGGCTTTTTTGTGTTTCGTTTGCCGTCCTTCCCCCGATTAGCACGGTTGGCTAGGTACGGTGCAAAAGAAGTTCAACATACATACACAACAAAAACCAAGGATGCCGCACTCACCTAACAAAACGACATTTTAAAAGATTCACATTAAATCGGCAGCAACCTAGCACAGCCAATGGCTATAAATGCCACGGCACTTACTTAAAATAGACCATCTGCTTTGGCTAAATTAAGGTGCGATGGGGCGAGATATCATTACGGGAGGGCGCGCCCGTGCGATATTTCAAAGTGCACGGAGGGAGATGCTCTGTTTACACTCCGCACACGGTCGGGCCTGGAGGCTGTCGGGCCTGCAGACTTGTTGCGTGCCCTTCCAGCGGTAGAGCGAGCGGTTCACAGGTCAACTCCTTGCTAGGGGTTGGCTCAGCCCATCGTCCCCCGTGGGATCGATTAAAATGAGCACGACTTTGCGGGGGGAATGGGGGTGACTGCTCTTCCAGGACTGGCCACTGTGGAAGAATAGGCCAAGTATCCTCGAGCGAGCTTCTCTTGAGAGCTTCTCTCGAGCTCCCTCTCTAGAGCGGCGTAGCGAAAACTATTGTTGCAATGTACTTCTATGCCCCCACGTCCATGCTCTCAAGCTCCAGCTCACCGTTACACCACCCTGGCTCGAGTTGATGTTGGGGCACTACGGTGGCTAGGAGATGTTCACTACCTCTCCTGGTGTACAGGAGGTCGTGGATTCGATTCCGACCCTGACGCCTGCTGTATATTTAGCGTTTAGTGTATTTGGCTGCTGCTTTACATTTCCACATGATAAGCCACTTCGTTGAGCTATCATTTGTGATAGCCAGGTCGCTTCTGAAAAAGAGCCGCATAGCTCAGTGGGGCCTTACCTGGTGAAATAAAAACAATTGCTAAGTTCATAGTTTAATAGAATATTGGACAGACTGCGAGAGAAAACGTCCCACGGCGAGATGGCAATCGTACCGAGGATGAGGAGGGTGAGGCCGTTGAAGATCGCTCCGATGTAAGTGAGAAGCCACATGAGAACAGCGAACTGCACGCACGCGCACACACACACACACAGTCAACGATCCCCATTTAGCCTCGGACTGTTTGGGGCAAATGCTGTTTGCGAGCACCTATTAAGGCAGGTACGATGCGCCACGCCCAGCCACCTTTGTTCCCCCAGCGCTGATGATTTACACACCACTTAAGGAAGTCGTTCAAGGCCGAGGCCTGATGAAGCTGGTTGTAATTACTGCCGAAATGTCGTACTCAGATTGTAAATGTTGTGGCCTGGCTCTCCAACACACCGGTTAGTGCTCTACTAGTGACGAATTGGCCACGTTCTGTTTATGTGGCAACCCTTACTAGTTGGCTGTGTCGGGTGCTGGCGGGTTTAATGACACATTTATATATTTCAACAACAACTACAGCCGCCATTCGCCACTAAGCGGTGTTGACATCACCAGGGCTGTTTGTGCCAGGCCAGGTGCACTCCGAGTCCACGTGAAGTGCCAAAGGATCGCTGGCAGTAGGTCACGGGACAGATCCTGGCGCGATGGGTTGACTGACCGAGATGACTGGTGGATAAACCACCTGTGCTCCCCACTGTGCCACCTCACAGCGGTTTATCCGCCCGGCGCTACGCTCGTTGTTGTGAATGTCGCCGATCTGCCCTCCGCTGTTGTTGGAAGGCGACTGTCTCCAACTGCCCAGCAGCGTCCTTCACAAGCCTCCTCCACAACTCCAAATCCTCCCATACTGCATCAGCTCCATCGCTTCTCTAACACATGCATTTTGCCATTTAGCCCCCTCTATCCGGCCAAGCAGAAGCTGTCTGGCATGGATATGCGAGCTACATGACCCAGCCAAGATATTAAATAGTGTAGGGGCCAGATGACATAACGATGGCACCCCAAGCACCACAAGCAACCACAACAACATCCGTCATTCGCCACTAAGTGTTGTTGACGTCACCACAGCCGTTGTGCCAGGCTATGTGTGCCGTGCAGTGCCATGCCGTGCCGTGCCATACGGTGTGTTAAGCAGTCCGGTGTGACGTGTGGTGTGACGTGTGGTGTAGTGTGACGTGTGGACTAGTGTGACGTGTGGTGCGGCGTGTGGTGTGACGTGTGGACTAGTGTGGCGTGTAGTGAGGTGTGACGTGTGGTGTAGTGTGACGTGTGGACTCGTGTGACGTGTGGTGCGGCGTGTGGACTAGTGTGGCGTGTAGTGAGGTGTGACGTGTGGTGTAATCTGACGTGTGGACTAGTGCGGCGTGTAGTGAGGTGTGACGTGTGGTGTGACGTGTGGACTAGTGTGGCGTGTAGTGAGGTGTGACGTGTGGTGTAGTGTGACGTGTGGTGTAGTGTGACGTGTGGACTAGTGTGACGTGTGGTGCGGCGTGTGGTGTGACGTGTGATGTGACGTGGGGACTAGTGTGGCGTGTAGTGAGGTGTGACGTGTGGTGTAGTGTGACGTGTGGACTAGTGCGGCGTGTGGTGCGGCGTGTGGTGTGACGTGTGGACTAGTGTGGCGTGTAGTGAGGTGTGACGTGTGGTGTAGTGTGACGTGTGGACTAGTGTGACGTGTGGTGTAGTGTGACGTGTGGACTAGTGTGACGTGTGGACTAGTGTGACGTGTGGTGTAGTGTGACGTGTGGACTAGTATGACGTGTGGTGTAGTGTGACGTGTGGTGCGGTGTGACGTGTGGACTAGTGTGGCGTGTAGTGAGATGTGACGTGTGGTGTAGTGTGACGTGTGGACTAGTGTGGCGTGTAGTGAGGTGTGACGTGTGGTGTAGTGTGACGTGTGGTGTAGTGTGACGTGCGGTGTGACGTGTGGACTAGTGTGGCGTGTAGTGAGGTGTGACGTGTGGTGTAGTGTGACGTGTGGACTAGTGTGGCGTGTGGTGCGGCGTGTGGTGTGACGTGTGGTGTGACGTGTGAACTAGTGTGACGTGTGGTGTAGTGTGACGTGTAGTGAGGTGTGACGTGTGGTGTAGTGTGACGTGTGGACTAGTGTGACGTGTGGTGCGGTGTGGCACCTTGAGCGAGTCGACGAGGTCCTCCACCAGGAAGAGGCGCCGGAGCTCCCGCACGACCGCGTTGAAGCGCGCCAGAGCGACGTCCAGGTGCGTCTCTACGGTGGCCTGCGACACGCCCAGGTCGCACTCCAGACACGCCCTGCACGCACAGCAAAGACAAAGGTCCCCCGTGTAGCCTTAGCGGACTGTTGGGGCAAGCGCTGTTAGCGAGCAGCTATGAAGGCCGGCACGGCACATGAGGTGGTGGGTAGCCAACACCACGCCCGGCCGCTTTTGTCTCCCTAAGCGGCGATGTTTACGCATCACACCAGGTACTCATTCGAGGCGTAGTCGACCTAGGAGAGGCCCAGGACCGGTTCAAATAATCATCACCGGCATCAAACTCGGGTCGCCGGGTTCGTACTGCAGCGCGCTAGCCGCTACACTACCACTCCCCCCACACACACACACAGGTAGGCAGCCCTGCACACACACTCACGTCCACAGACAAAGTTCCCTTGTATATTTCGATTTAAAGCTTTCGTGACTGCAGGGATTCATCTTCTTGGTTCCCTTTATTAATGATACCCCTATCACCTCCCTTTGATGCTGCTAATCCTGCATAATGCACGGGCATAATATGACTTTAAACCCCCCCACCCACCTCCTACGCATTTCACAAGTAGTACTAACCCCAATCTGCATTTCCCATAAATATGCTAAATTCCTCTTGATATGTAAATTATTTTGTCAAGGCGCTCTTCCACCCTCCAACCCAGCTTAAATAGACGCTCCAAGCCTGGGGTTGTTTCATTCAGACGCTGTCTTCTCGACAGACCTATTCTTCACCCGAGGACGGCTGCTTGCGTTGTGGCCGAAACGTGGTGAGAATTATGTTTATTAAGTTTTATTTTTATTATTTTATTATTATTTCCATTCTACGTGACTTTACCGAAAGAACCAAGGAGATGATTCCCTGGCATAGCCCGTTGGGGGGAAAGTTCTTGTTAGCGAGCAGCTCTTGGACCGACCCTCACTCCTGTGCGTCACGCCGCCTCCAGCGCTCACCGGAAGGGGTGGCCGCTGTCGCTCTTCTGCACGGCCTGCAGCACCGACTTGTAGACGCGGAAGCTGACGGTGACGGAGAGCACGGCGAGGCACACGTAGCACGCGACGCTCACGACGCTGAACTGCGTGAGCGCCAGCAGCAGCGCCGTGGTGGCGCCGAACACGCCGGCCGAGCTGCGCACGTCGCGCCAGTACACGAGCTCCACGGCTGTGCGGCGGGAAGAGCACGCAGGGAGAGGGGAGGGGAGGGGAGGGGGGGGAGAGGAGGGGGGGAGAGGGGGGGGGGAGAGGAGGGGGGGGAGAGGAGGGGGAGGGGGGGGGGAGAGGAGGGGGGGGAGAGGAGGGGGGGTGGGGGAGGAGAGGGGGGAGAGGAGGGGGGGGGAGAGGAGGGGGGGGAGAGGGGGGGGGGAGAGGAGGGGGGGAGAGGAGGGGGGGAGAGGAGGGGGGGGAGAGGAGGGGGGGGGGGAGAGGAGGGGGGGAGAGGGGGGGGGGGGAGAGGGGGGGAGGAGAGGAGAGGGGGGGAGAGGGGGGGGAGGAGAGGAGAGGGGGGAGAGGAGGGGGGGAGAGGAGGGGGGGAGAGGAGGGGGGGAGAGGAGGGGGGGAGAGGAGGGGGGGGAGAGGAGGGGGGGGGAGAGGAGGGGGGGGAGAGGAGGGGGGGAGAGGAGGGGGGGAGAGGAGGGGGGGAGAGGAGGGGGGGAGAGGAGGGGGGGGAGAGGAGGGGGGGGAGAGGAGGGGGGGGAGAGGGGGGGGGGAGAGGAGAGGGGGGGAGAGGGGGGGGGGAGAGGAGGGGGGGAGAGGAGGGGGGGGAGAGGAGGGGGGGGAGAGGAGGGGAGAGAGAGGGGGGGGAGAGGGGGGGGAGGAGGGGGGGAGAGGAGGGGGGGGAGAGGAGGGGGGGGAGAGGAGGGGGGGGAGAGGAGGGGGGGAGAGGAGGGGGGGGAGAGGAGGGGGGGGAGAGGGGGGGAGAGGGGGGGGGAGAGGAGAGGGGAGAGGAGAGGGGGGGAGAGGAGGGGGGGGAGAGGAGGGGGGGGAGAGGAGGGGAGAGGGGAGGAGGGGAAGAGAGGAGGGGGGGGAGAGGAGAGGGGGGGAGAGGAGGGGGGGGAGAGGAGGGGGGGGAGAGGGGGGGGGGAGAGGGGGGGAGGAGAGGAGAGGGGGGGAGAGGGGGGGGGAGAGGAGGGGGGGAGAGGAGGGGGGGAGAGGAGGGGGGGGGAGAGGAGGGGGGGGAGAGGAAGGGGGGGAGAGGAGGGGGGGGGAGAGGAGAGGGGGGAGAGGGGGGGGGAGAGGGGGGGAGAGGAGGGGGGGAGAGGAGGGGGGGGAGAGGGGGGAAGAGGAGGGGGGGAGAGGAGGGGGGGGGAGAGGAGGGGGGGGAGAGGAGGGGGGGGGAAGAGGGGGGGAGAGGAGGGGGGGGGCGGGAGAGGAGGGGGGGGGGGGTGGAGGGGGGAGAGAGAGAGAGGAGGGGGGGACATCGGTGGAGATGACATCAATGTCAGTGACAGTGCCAATGTCATCGCCTGCAACAAAAAGTTTTGCAATGACAGATAGTGTCATGGGACGCGTGCCCGCGGTGCGATCGTTAGCACAATGGACCCTGCAGCAACCCAGCGATCGCCGGCTCCATTCTATCTCCAGGTTGAGGCAGTGTTTAAACAACGGCGCAAGTTCCTTCAATCCCCACACTGCTGCCGCCTCTTGTCCAGCCAGCGGTCTATGAAGATGGGTACAGCGCAGGTCGCGTGCGGTTCTTGCGGACCGTGCGTAGCCAACCGTGCTAATTGGAGGTGCGGGGCAAGGAAAACAAACTCAAGAAATGAGATTGTCAATCAAGGTGATGATTTAAATGTGCATAGCTTCCAGTGGCTTCCTAATATGGCAAGTAAGAGACCTATAGAGACCCACATATCCAGAAACTCGTATAGAACCAGAGACACACAGAGACCCACAGAGACCCACAGAGACCCACAGAGACCCACAGAGACCCACAGAGACCCACAGAGACCCACAGAGACCCACAGAGACCGATACCCACATGTATGTACGTTTATAACTTCTTTCCCATCGTGCTAATCGGAGGCGCGGGGGGGAAAGACAACAAACTAGACACAAAAAATAAATAGTTTTCAATCTAAACGATTTAAAAGTGCATATCTCCCAGCGGCTTCCTAACATGGGAAGGAAGAGCGTTCCAGACGGCCGCGGAAGCACATCTGAAAGCGCCGCGCGATGGCGGTCGGCCGTCTTTGTTCGACGGCTCCTTCAGCGGAAGGGGAGGGAGGAACGGCAAAAAACTTGGCGCAGTCTCTCCCGAAGGCCTCTCACGGTGGCGAGCGACAGACCTCGACGTTTGTCATTCAGCTCCCGAACACGTTTCCACAGCACGCGAGAACGGAATTGCACCAGCGACGTTGCCGCCACGGTGTCGACACCTCCGGGCGCATGACCCACATTAAGCGCTCGTTCATGCCCACGATTAAAACGCATCCCAATTTCGAAGGGAAATAATAAAATAATAAAAATAATAAACAATTAATTTCTCACGAAGTTTCGACTGCAACACAAGCAATCGTCATCAGGTGTGAAATCAACAGCAAGTTTTTTCTAATTTTCTTGCTGTGGATTGCACACCTGATGATAATTGCTTGTGTTGCAGTCGAAACGTCGTGAGAATTTTATTTTGTATATTTTTATTCTTTTATTATTTCCCTTCTTACGTGACTTTACCGAAAGAACCAAGAATGTAAAACTAAAACTGTGAAACTACTTTTGTATTTGACCAGGTAAGTCCCAGAAACGACCTGGTCACGGATGATAGCTCAACGAAGTGGCTTGTCGCGTGGAAATACAACGGGGACCTCTTTAGTCTTTGTGCACCTGTGTGCGCACGCATACACGCGTGTGTGCACACAGTTGCCCGGCCTGGTATGGCATGCCTGAACACGACGCTGGCGTCTCCCAGGAGTGTCACAAAGTCAGCGGAACATTCCCGTCCGTCAAGCGGGGAAAGGTTGAAGCCGCACGCGGCGGCACAACGTTCGCTACGCGTATGCATCGTTGAACTTCTTTCGCACCGTACGTAGCCAACCGTGCTAATCGGAGGTGCGAGTCTGAGACCAATCCACAGCGGGCAGATTTGCCATGTGCTGTGGTGGTGAGATGTTAACTGCCTCGCCTGGTGTACATGAGGTCGTGGGTTCGATCCCGAGCCTGACGCCTGCTGCTGTATATATTTGGAGTTTGCGTGTTCTCTCTCTCACCATGGTCATTCGATTTTTCTCCGGATCCTCCGGTTTTTCCCTCCGCATTTAGAATCAACATGCGTTTAGAGCATTCGGCTGCTATAAATGTACACATGATGACAAGCCACATCGTTGAAGAGGAGCATCGGCGCTCCGTTGTATATTGATACGTAACACAGCACACACACCGCGCTGTGCATTCATACTGGAAACCGGGAGCAGGTGGAGCGGTGTGGTGGTTTGCGCACGTTGACGACGGACCCGGAGAACAGAGGTCGATTTCCATGCAAGGCTAACATCAGTGGCGAGTGATACCCAAACCGGTCCTGGACCTCTGCAATCCATCGGCGGGGATTGATGTGGGGCAAACAATCGACTTTCTACACTCCGACAAAGTCAAACCATCATTTTATTTTAACGACGATGATGGGGCGGGGGGATTGTAAAAGCGATGGAGATCGTTAGGATAGAGGTTCTATATTTGTTACGAATTTCTATTCGCTGAACTTTGTTTTACTGATAACCGCTACACCACTGTACTACAAAGATCCCCCGCCGTATAGCCATAACGGATTGTAGGTGCAAGTGCTGTTCGCGAGCACCTATGCAGGACGGCACGGCACACGAGGGGGGTGACCAGCACCACGCCCGTATACACAAGTCACGACACGCATTCACATATGCAACAACAACAACCGCCATTCGCCACTAAGTGGTGGTGACGTCACCACGACACTTGTGCCAGGCCATGTGCACCTTGAGGCCACGTGAAGTGTCGAACGCCCGCTGGCAGGAGGTCACGGGGCAGACCCAGGTGCCACGGGTCGACTGACTGAGATGACTGGCTGATGCACCACCTGTGCCCCCTACTGTGCCAACTTGCTTTGCTTTAGCCACCCGGCGCCTTGCTTTAGCCAACCGGCGCTCCGCTCGTTGTTGTGAGCGTTGCTCCTCCGCCCTCCGTTGTTGTTGGAGGGCGACTGCCTCCAACTGCCCAGTAGCGTCCTTCACGAGCCTCCTCCACAGAGGCCGATCTTGACACCGCTGGTACCAGTCATCGGCAAGTCCACTCAGCTCCACGTCCTCCTGTACCTCATCACTCCATCTCTTCAGCCCGTGCCGCGCCCGTTTAGCCCCCTCGATCCGGCCGAACAAAAGCTGTTTAGGCATGCGGTGGCTGGGCATGCGGACTACATATGCACACGCACGCACACATACAATGCCATGTTTATCTTTGCCATTGTTCTTTTTTTGTCATTTTTGGGGACCCAGGTCGCTCTCGCAAATGAGACTCCTACCCCCTCCCCTGGTCTCTTTGAATTCTCACCCTGTGGCTTTAACAAAATAAACTTGAAGCTTAGGCCGACACCCCCACCCCCCCCTACCTCGACGAGTGAAACAAGGACATTGCAGAGCGGCGGAATATTTAACAAAACACCCTGAACATTGGCACATCTTCCTCCCAGAGACCTTTCCACAGGGCAGATGGTTCACTCACGAGCTGCTGATCACGCCTGGGAGCCCAGTGCAAACAGGATAATCATGTACCACGTCACATCACGTCTGCAGACAAAGACAAAGACCCCCCCACCACCCGCATAGCCTTTAACAGACTGTTGGGGCAAGTGCTGTTAGCGAGCAACTATGAAGGCCGACACGGCACACGAGGGGGTGGGTAGCAAGCACCACGCGGGGCCACCTTTGTCTCCCCAGTGGCGATGTTTACACACCGCACCGGGTACTCTTTTGAGGCTGAGTCGACCTAGAGGAGGCCTAGGGCCGGTTCAGATAATCGTCACTGGTGTTGGCCGTGAGTAGGAATCAAACCAGAGTCGCCGGCTCCGTACAGCGCAGCGCGCTAACCGCTACACTAACGCTCCATCTGCATACAACAACAACCGCCATGGTGGGTGATGTCTCAACAGCACTTGTGCCAGGCTATGTGCACTTTAAGGCCACGTGCAGTGTCGAACACCCA